ATATAAATTATGTATAAAAAGTAGGTACATTGCATTTTTGCTACTTGAAAATAATTATTATGAAATTACGTAACGGTATTTTCTTTATTCGTTATTATCCAACACTGATATCTATACCTATTTCTTAGTTCCTTATTTTTATCATCAATATGCCACTTGCACTGATTTAATTTTTGAATAATATTGTATACATTTTATTTACGATTAGATTGATAAAGATGCCCTTGACAAACAAGTCCAAGAAAAGAAAATACTTCGAGACCAAGAACAAGCAAAACAACAAGCGTATTCAAATAAGTTATTACAAGACTGTTCTGTATCGTTACAACTAGATGAACAAAATAAAAAAGTAACGCCATAGCACTATACTATATTTTAAGTCTTTTAAGATAATTATTTTATAAATACAGTGAAAACTCTTTATAACGAAACTTTTTACAACGAAAAACTCTATATAACGTAAACATTACATAATAATGGTTGGTTTGCTATATAACCCATTAGACAATTCATGATCTATACGTATTAGTCACTCTCAATAACGAAACAATATTTTATGTTTCATAATACAATTTAGTAATTTACGTGTTATCGTATCTATTACATATATAAACTATAAAAATAATCGGCAATAATGCCGACATTTCCAAGAACGATTACAATCTTTCATTATTTACTTTTAATATCGTTATTATCGATATTTAATAGGTACAATGTTCATTTTATTATCGACGTAATGTCTACATTATAATGTCTAACATTATACACATATACATAAATAATTAAAATTTTGTTTTTTTTTTTAAACCCTCTCTATTACGAACACTCTCTATGACGAAAGAAATCTCTTGGTCCCTTCAGATTCGTTATAAAGAGTTTTGACTGTACATAAAAAAAAAAACAATGCAATATGAATCTATTAACTTCCTATTTTCAAAAAAAATGTATACAAACAAACAGGAGCACATTTATATGATTTTTTTCTTAAATTAAAATTAAAAAAAAGTCTTTGATTGTATTTAAAAACAACAAAATCAGGATTTGAATATATTCATTATTAAAGGAACAAATGGAGGTGACAATACTTGATAAATCACCTGTATAATAATTTTATATGCGATAGATATAGTTATTACTACCGTGAWTCTATATTTAATCGTAAAAGTAATTTTTGTTGATGTAATATGCATCATATAACTCCMATGCCCCTATATAGATATTTATAGCAACTAAAATATAAAAATAATTTTCAAATTTCATYGAATCACGGAAAATTAAAAAAACTGTCACTAAAATCCTTAAAATAAT